GAGCGTCCAACTTTGCTGCTCAGGTCACGATCTCGCGGTTCGTGAGTTCGAGCCCCGCGTCGGGCTCTGTGCTGACAGCTCTGTGCTGGAGCCTGCTTCGGATTCTGTGTCTCCCTCTCTGCTCCTCCCCCTGCTCACACACTCTCTCTCCCTCAGAAATAAATAAACATTAAAAAAATTATCTAATTAATAATAGATCCATTCCGTTAAGCATGGCCTTCAGAGTGAGCTGTGTCCAGTGCGGCCGGCACAGGGACACACGGGGAGCCTGTTTTGTTCCGTTCGTTAGACACTTGCAGGAGTCACACCTCAGGCTCTCTGAGCAGCTGGTCGCTTTGGGAGGTGGCAAGTCTCCCCCTACTGCTGCCCAGCACCAGAGAGGGAGCAGGGACGCACAGCAAGCCACATCTCTCTCCTCTAAGAAGCCTTGTGTCGTCCTTTCACTCTCAGGACAGGGGCGTCCGTAGACAAGGTCTGACAGCAAAACTGGTTTTACAGCCCCTTGGCCTGTTCTGCAGAGGCAGCCTGGTCTCTGGTTTTGGCATGGGGAGAAACTTGGCATCTCCCATCATTTTTGTTTCTGTTGGCCTTGAGCGGTCTCTCTGAATGGAGACGGCCTGTTTTACTAGTTAGTTTATGCCTACACATACTTTATACAAACTATCTTTTCCTACTGGGTCTGTCCCTTCTAGAGTTGCAGAATCATCCAGCCAAGAGGTGCACTGGTTTCCTTTTGGGCCCGCCTCTATGGACCCCAAGGTTGGGGACCTGGGCACCTCCAGGGACACGGATCCCAAGTTCATGTCTCACTGCTCCAATGTTCAGTATCAGAAAGATCACACTGATCAGGCTCTATTGTATTTATGTCAACTGTTTTGCAATTAATCTCCACACCCAACATGGGGCTCAACCTCACAACCCCGAGATCCAGAGTCACATGCTCTAGTGACTGAGACAGCCAGGCACCCCTCCTTTTTGATTAGTACATGTTGGGTCCTATTTATGCAATCTTTGTCTATCCCAAGATCATGAAGATCTCCTGTTTTCTTTTCCAAGAGCTTTGTGGCTTCTCTTTCATGTTTAGATAGACCATCAGGAACTGATCTGATGTGGTGTGAGGTAAGGATCAAGAAACTTTTTTAACGTTTATTTTTGAGAGAGAGAGAGAGAGAGCACAAGCAGGGGAAGGGCGGAGAGGGGGGCGGACAGAGGATCCGAAGCAGGCTCTGTGCTGACAGCAGACAGCCCAATGCGGGGCTTGAGCTCACAAACCTCAAGATCATGACCTGGGCCGAAGTTGGACGCTTAACCGACTGAGACACCCAGGTGCCCTAACAAACTATTTTGTTTTCATTTGGATATTCATTTGACGCAACACTGCTTATTGAAATATTTATTTATCACACAATTTTCTTTTTCTTTCTTTTCCATACAACTTTCTTTGAATTGTTTACTACGTATCAGATCCTGGGTGTCCAGAGGTGGGCAGAGCCAAGCCCTTGTCTTGACAGTGAGGGCAACAGACAGTAAACAAGGTAAAAAATGTATCAAGGGTGACGAATGCCGGGCTGCACGATAACGCAGAGAAAGGGGATATACCATACTGTATTTAAGCAGCCTTCTGTTACAGGCTGTGTCCAGTGTTTTGCCGTTACACATAGCATTACTGTGGGCATCTTTAAAACAAGTCCTTGGGGGGGCGCCTGGGTGGCGCAGTCGGTTAAGCATCCGACTTCAGCCAGGTCACGATCTCGCGGTCCGGGAGTTCGAGCCCCGCGTCGGGCTCTGGGCTGATGGCTCGGAGCCTGGAGCCTGTTTCCGATTCTGTGTCTCCCTCTCTCTCTGCCCCTCCCCCGTTCATGCCCTGTCTCTCTCTGTCCCAAAAAATAAAATAAATGTTGAAAAAAAATAAAACAAGTCCTTGGGAATGTTTCTGATTATTTCCTTATAAAAACTACATGCATAAGGACTCATGCATCAAGGGGTATGATCTTCTCGGGCCTTGATACATATCGTTATTTATTTGGAGTGAGTTTATATCTTGCTTCCCTAGGAGATTGATTTTCCAAAGACTTGGAAAAGTTTATGCTTCCTGGAGCGTGAAACAGAGTACAACGCACAAAATGAGTGTGTAAGAAAGTGGCAAAAGGTGACCTTCAGAACCACAGCTCACTTACCGACAGATGTCAGCGCATAGTGTTGGTCGCACTTGGATGGGACAGTCTGGTCTCTTTGCAACTACGCCCCCAGGGGAGGCTCCAGAACCCGGCACAGTTGATCATGAGGACTTGGGGGGGGAGGGGCACCTTTCATGGAGTTCTGAAAAGTGGGGCTGATCGGCCGACCCAAAGGGGCTTTCAGCAGAAAGGTTTCTACCTTCGGTAAAATGGAAAACTGCTGCAGGTCAGCAGGTCGTGCTAATAGTGACCTGTCCACATCTCGAGACAGCTACTAAGAGGGCCCGAGCCACCAGGAGGAACCTGCTGCATGTCCCCTACGGAGACGGCGAGGGGGAGAACCTGGACATCTACTTTCCCGAGCAAGTGTCTGAAGGTAGGCGAATAGGCGGGTGGTCCCGCAGCAGGGCTCGGCTGGGCACCCGGCTCAGCCCCCACGCCCTCTGTCTGTCTTACAGCCTCGCCTTTCTGTGTGTTCTTCCATGGCGGGTACTGGCAGAGCGGAAGGTGAGTCGGGAGCTTGGGTGAACAGGGAGAAAGGGACATCCACCCTTCCCTGGTGTAGGAGATCGTGCGAGCTGCTGCTTCAAACTCCGTGTCTGACCACAGGAGTGCGTTCTCTCACAGTTCTGGAGGCCAGAAGTCTGAGATAAAGGTGTGGGCAGGGCCCTGCTCCCTCCAGAGGCGCCGGGGGAGAACCCACTCCTGCGTCTTCCAGCGGCCGGGGGCTCTGGGTTTTCGTTGGCTGTGGCCGCATCACCCCCGTCTCTGCGTCCATCCTCACGGGGCCTCCTCTGTGTCCGTGTCTCAGATCATCCCCCGCCCTTCTCTTATAGTGTCACCAGTCATGGGATTTATGCCCACCCTGAATCAGGGATGATCTCACCTCGGGATCCTTAACTACATCTCCGTCTCTCTTTCTGCAGTAAAGATACATCAGCCTTCATGGTCAACCCACTAACAGCACAGGGAGTGGCCGTGGTGATAGTGGCTTATGACATAGCCCCCAAAGGTAAGGACGATGGTCTCACAGGTTTGAAGCCTGGTGGGCTCTGGAGGGGAGAGAGCCCCTGACGGCTCCTGACCCGCCTCGTGTTCTCTGTGCAGGTACCCTGGACCAGATGGTAGACCAAGTGACCCGGAGCATCGTGTATATCCAGAAGCAGTATCCACGCAATGAGTAGGTATCACTGCAGATTTCCCTTTTGCCAGACGATGTGGGAGGACCGTGGATTCAGCCCCCCGGGATGCAGCCCAGCTGCTCCCTCTGGCCTGTGGAGCAGAAGGCGAACCGGGACTCCTCGATACCGACCTGATGCACTCGGGCCACCGAATGCAAATCCGGCTCTCTCTCCTCTGACCCAACCCAGGGGGATTTACCTGTGCGGACACTCAGCTGGGGCCCACCTGGCCGCCATGATGCTCCTGGCCGACTGGACCAAGCATGCAGTCGCCCCCAACCTCAGAGGTTTCCCTGGGACTGCGGGCTGGCCGGGCAGCCTTCTCCCTCCCCAGATGGGCCCGAGGGCCGCACCAGCTGCACAAAATCCCAACAGCCATGACGTGCTTGAGCTGGGGGCTTGGAGCCCTGTGACATGGGCTCGTCTTTGCTTCTTCTCTACCCCTACCCTGGTCTCGTCCCTTTGGGGCTGGCCCCATATTGCCCCACTGGGTGCCTGCAGGAAGCCTCGTATGGGTGGGGTGTTGGCCCCACCTAGAGCCTGGCCCTCTGACTGCTCTTCACCTTTACAGGCTTTTTCCTGGTAAGTGGGATCTATGACCTAGAGCCCATCGTGTTCACCTCTCAGAACGGCCCTCTCCTCATGACCCTGTGAGTCACTTGCCCCCTCCTTCCCCAGCTGAGCTTGAACCTACCAGGCGGGCCAGGAGTGACACGCGGGCTTTTCTCCGTCCTGACCCATGCCTGCCCCCCCCACCCACCCCCGCATCAGGGAGGATGCTCGGAGGAATGGTCCACAGCAGCTCCTGGAGGCGGCCCTGACGCAGCCCGTGGATCCCGCCTGCCACGTGCTGGTGATCGTGGGCCAACACGACTCCCCCGAATTCTCCCGACAGTCCAGGGAATTTTATCAGGTACCCCCAGCACCCCGCTTCTGGCCGGAGGTTGAGGGTCATGCGCTGTCATTACCTTCCCCTTTATTTCACCCAAAGGGACCCCAAGACCATCAGCCGTTTATTCAACAAATACCGAGCGAGCACCTGCTCCGGGTCAGGCAGGGCCCTGCTGCCTCACGCTCCTGCTTGGCCCTTTTTTCTACCCAGACACTGCGCAGAGGAGGATGGAACGCCTCGTTTGAAGAACTCCACGATGTGGATCACTTTGAAATCATCTGGAAGCTAACCCAGGACGACTACGTGCTCACCCAGGTGGGGCACATCCCTTCACTGTGGAGGGCATGGGTCCTGCCTTAGCACCCCCGGAAATACGGACAGGAGGGTAGGTGGGGAGCACAGAGGAGTCATTCACTAGTTCCTTGGCCTCCGGGAGCCTGGGGACCCTACGGTAGGACTTGAGTCCCCCCCTGGCTTCCTGGACTTCACCTCTCTTTGAAAGAGCCCCAGAGTCTGTGCCTGGGCACACAGGAGGGAGCTGCACGGGGCTTGGTGCCGAGGCGGAGAGGCATTGATCTGGGCCAAGGAAAGTGTTAGCCTGTGTTAAGCATAAGGCAGAGCCAACTCCATACAGGACAAGATGGGCGGATTTGGTTCAGAAATGTTGATTACAACTTAAACGTGGAGAATCCTTTTGAAAATCAAACATTACAATTTTCACATGGAGAATTCTTTCACAAGTCAAAGAATAAGCTGCGGAGAGTATTTGCCACAGACCTGGCAGATACAGAGTTACCATTTCTCTTCTCTTCTTTTTCTTTTTCTCCACCCCCCCCCACCCCCAACGGGAAAGTGGTTCTTCAGAACTTCACTTTTAATCAGCTGCCACCTCAGTAAGGCTTTGATAGCATTCAGTGTTTTTTTTTAATTTTTAAAAAATATTTTTGAACGAGAGAGAGACACACACACACAGAGAGCAGGGGAGGGGCAGGGAGTGAGGGAGACACAGAATCCGAAGCAGGTTCCGGGCTCCGAGCCGTCAGCACAGAGCCCGACACGGGGCTCGAACCCACGAACTGTTGAGATCATGACCTGGGCCAAAGTCAGATGCTTAACTGACTGAGCCACCCAGGCACCCCTATAGCATTCAGTTTAATTCTTACATAATTAATATTCTTACTGTATAAAGAGTACTTTCAAATCAAGAAGAACTGTTTTAATTTCTATTTAGAAACAGACAAAAATGGATAAAGAATAAGGGATAGTTTAAGAAAAAATATAAATGGCCAATAAACATGGGGGGAAGATTATACCAGGGATATTAGAAATGTCACTTAAAATGACAGTCCTTTCCCACCTGTCATTGAAAATATTCTAATAAGGGGCGCCTGGGTGCAGTTAGTTAAGCGCGCCCGACTCTTGATTTTGGCTCAGGTCATGATCTCGTGGTTTCATAGGTTCAGCCCCATGTCAGGCTCTGTACTGGCAGCACAGAGCCTGCTTGGGATTCTCTCTCTCTCTCTCTCTCTCTCTCTGTCTCTCTCTCTCTGTCTCTCTCTCCCTCTCCCTCTCTCTGCCCCCACCCCCAACACACTGTCTCTGTCTCTCTCAAAATAAATAAACAAATGTCTAAAAAATTAAAAAATAGAAAAAAAAGGAAGAGAAAATGTTCTAATGATAATTATGCCCAGCACTGCTGGAGAGATGGTGGAGGGGGTCCTCTCCAGTTCCGCCGGGGGGCGCACAGCCTGGCAATATAGATCCAAACCCACTAGCCCAGTAATTCTGCTGCTTGGAATTTCTCTTCCGGATAATCAAAGAAATACACAGAGATAGCCCCTGCAACTGTATTAATATTCAAAACTGGGAAACAACCTAAATGTCCCAATGAGGTTACATGATGACATAATCAGGTAATGGAACACAGTTTGTGAAAATCAGTTAGGATACATCAAATTGATTCAGATGTGAAAGCAAAAACACAAGAAACAACTGATCCAGTATATTCCCAATTCAAGCATACACAGACAGCTAGACCCCTGGAGGCATATGTATGCATACGAAAAACTCAATTATCAGTGGTATCACACAGTGCATTTTAAAAATTCATTTCCAAAAAAAAAAAAAAAAAATTCATTTCCAGGGGCGCCTGGGTGGCTCAGTCGGTGAAGCGTCCGACTTCAGCTCAGGTCGTGATCTCATGGTTCATGAGTTCCAGCCCTGTGTCAGGCTCTATGCTGACAGCTTGGAGCCTGGAACCTGCTTCCGATTCTGTCCCCTTCTCTCTCTGCCCCTCCCCCACTCACACTCTGTCTCTCTCTCAAAAATAAACAGTAAAAAAAAAAAAAATGCAATTCCACATTTGCTAACATGAGCGCATATTACTTAAAAAAATGTGTTTTTTATTTTTTTGAGACAGCACCAGTGGGGGAGGGGCAGAGAGATTGGGAGACAGAGAATCCCAAGCGGGCTCCACCCCGTCAGGGTGGAGCCCCACGCGGGGCTCGAACTCATGAACCGTGAGATCATGACCTGAGCGGAAATCAAGAGTCAGACACTTAACCGACTGAGCCACCCAGGCGCCCCTGTGTTAGGTTTTCAACTGGGGGAAAACAAATGCTCATAAGTGACATGAAAACTTTATTTATGAATGCTGACACTTGAATCTTACATAATTTTTACACGTTGTGAAATAATATTGTTCTGGTCTTTTCTCGACCATTTAAAAGAGGGAAGCCATTCTTAGCTCATGGGTCGTACAAAACCTCATGTCGAGCTGGAGGTAAGTCTACGTATGGTTGAGAGCTTATTTTGAACCCTTCAAAGGAGAGATGGGACTGGGCTGTCATTTTAAGTGGCATTTCTATCATCAGTAAGGCAGCCTGTTTCTTTCATCAGATTCCTCCTGAGAGATCCTTGCAAGCGCCTCTCCAATCCTGAGGCTCTTGTGTCTTTTCTTATGTGTCTTTTCTTATCGCTGCAGATGATTTTGAGAACAATCTTCCAGGAGCCCTGACAGCATTGGACCCCCACCAGCGGGCACCCCAATGGTGAAGCTCCCCCCCCAGACCCCGCGGGCTTCCCCTTCCTGCCAAACTGGCCTCTCCCCACGCCCAGGAGCGCCTCCATTTTCTCTCAACACCACTAAAAATCTCCACGGCCTTTTGCTGGTCTGGATACATCAGATCGATTCAGATGTGAAAGCTGAATGTAGCATGTAATTTGAAACACTAAGATATTCTAAAAGCTTCCACGACGCAGGCACACGAGAATGACATTATAGGAGTGACTTGAATTTATTCCAGATCGTCAAAGGAAATGAGTCACAAAGTGTGGGACTTCGTTTAACGTTTGCAACAAATTCCTTGCGGGACACCCCACAGCTGCTGGCAGGAAACCCAGGAGGTCTCCACACCTAGGTCAAGAATTGCGCCCCCTAGGTTATGCCCTGTCAAAGCAAAATGCCTTAAACTAAGCAAAAGACAGAACAAAAATGTGTCCGCCACCTCTATGATCCTATTTTCACTTAAGAAGGATGCATAGGGGCGCCTGGGTGGCGCAGTCGGTTAAGCGTCCGACTTCAGCCAGGTCACGATCTCGCGGTCCGTGAGTTCGAGCCCCGCGTCGGGCTCTGGGCTGATGGCTCGGAGCCTGGAGCCTGTTTCCGATTCTGTGTCTCCCTCTCTCTCTGCCCCTCCCCCGTTCATGCTCTGTCTCTCTCTGTCCCAAAAATAAATAAACGTTGAAAAAATATATAAAATAAAATAAAAAGAAGGATGCATAGACCTCTATGTGGGCACGTGACATACAATACACAGATATCTATAGATCTAGAAAAAAAGACCAGCGGGATATACACAGGGTAACAGCAGTAAACAAAGCGAGATCGTGGGAAATTTTAATTTCTTCCTCTCATCTAATATAAATGATTGTATTACTATAAACAATTGAATATAAAAGTTATACTAAATAGACTGTGGACTGGATAACTATTTTCATGGCTTGTTAAAAAATGGGGTAGGGACGCCTGGGTGGCTCGGTCGGTTAAGCGCCTGACTCCGGCTCAGGTCATGATCTCACAGGTCGTGAGTTCGAGCCCCGCG